AAGAGGAGGAGGAAGACAAACTTTTTGTGGCCACGTGTTTTGCAAGCTGTGAAGAAAGTGAGAGTTGGCTCATTGACAGTGGCTGCACAAATCACATGACCTATGACAGGGAGCTTTTCAAAGATTTAAAGCCAACCAACATCACCAAAGTCAGAATAGGCAATGGTGATTATATTTCAGTCAAAGGAAAGGGGACTGTTGCAATAACAAGTTGCTCAGGTACAAAGTTTATCCCTGATGTCCTTTTTGTACCTGAAATCCAACAAAATCTGTTGAGTGTTGGTCAATTGATTGAAAGAGGCTTCAAAGTTGTTTTTGAAGACAATTTTTGCTTGATTAGAGATGCAGCTAGTCAGGATATGTTTAAAGTTAAAATGAAAGGGAAAAGTTTTGCTCTAAATCCATTGGAGGAAGAGCAAGCTGCTTTTTCAATCAAAGAAAACATCACAGAAGTTTGGCACAAAAGGCTCGGGCATTTTCACCACCAAGGGTTGCTGCAAATGAAGTCCAAAGGGATGGCTGCTGATTTTCCAGAACTTGATGATCATATACCAACATGCAAGGTCTGTCTATTTGGAAAGCAAAAAAGAAAGCCATTTCCGAAGACAGCAACAAGAGTCACTTGTAAGCTGCAGTTAGTCCACACAGATATAGCTGGACCTCAAAGAACTCCTTCATTAGCAGGTAATCGATATTATGCTGCCTTTATTGATGATTTCACAAGAATGTGTTGGATTTTTTTCTTAAAATTCAAGTCAGAAGTGGCTGAAGCATTTTGGAAGTTCAAAAAGTTAGTGGAGAATCAAAGTGGCAAGCAAATTCAGATTCTAAGATCTGATAATGGCAAGGAGTATACCTCAGAAAAATTCAATCAGTTTTGTGAGGAAGCTGGCATTGAGCATCAGTTAACCACTCCCTATACTCCACAACAAAATGGGGTGAGTGAAAGGAGAAACAAATACATCCTAGAGATGACTAGATGCATGTTGCATGAAAAAAATCTACCCAAGAAATTTTGGGCAGAAGCAGCTCACACGGCTGTTTTCTTGCAAAACAGACTTCTCTCAAAAGCTGTCAAGGATCAGACACCATATGAGGCTTGGTATGGCTATAAACCATCTTTCAATTTTCTCAAAATTTTTGGATGTTTGTGTTTTACTCATGTTCCTCAAAGCAAGCGTGACAAGCTTGATAAAAGAGCATCACCAGGCATCTTTATAGGCTACAGCACTGTCAGCAAAGCCTATAAAATCTTTCAGCCACAAACAGGAAGTATTGTTGTTAGCAGAGATGTCCACTTCGTAGAAGATGAAGAGTGGAACTGGGATGAGGTAAAGAAGAAGGATCCAACTGTGACAGATCTACAGTTTCAGCCTTTTGCTTCAACAACTGAAGAAGAGGATTGGCCGAATGAACTGATAGATGAGGTTCCTGCAAGAGGTACTAGACTACTCTCTGATATCTATGAAAGGTGCAATATTGCTGTATGTGAGCCTGCAGATTTTGGAGCAGCAGAGAAAGATCAAAATTGGATGGCTGCAATGAAGGAGGAGTTGTCTATGATTGAGAAAAACAGAACATGGGAACTGATTGATCGACCTCAAGATAGGAAGGTAATTGGAGTCAAATGGGTGTTCAGAACCAAACTGAATGCTGATGGTTCTATCAACAAATATAAGGCAAGACTTGTTGTGAAAGGCTATGCTCAAATCTTCGGTGTGGATTACTCAGACACCTTCGCACCAGTTGCTCGTTTGGACACCATTAGAATTTTGCTTGCTGTAGCTGCTCAAAAGAACTGGAAAGTGTATCAACTTGATGTAAAATCAGCTTTTTTAAATGGTGTCTTACATGAAGAAATTTATGTTGAACAGCCTGAAGGTTTTGTGAAAAGTAAAGATAAGGACAAGGTTTACCTTCTCAAAAAGGCTCTTTATGGGTTGAAACAAGCTCCACGAGCTTGGTACAGCAAGATAGATGATCATTTGCTGAGCATTGGCTTTGAGAAAAGCTTGTCCGAAGCCACTCTTTATGTCAAACATCAGAGTAATGATGTTATGATAGTTTCACTTTATGTTGATGACCTTTTGATGACAGGAAATGATGCAGGGATGATCCAGGAATTCAAACAAGAAATGATGAAGGTTTTTGAGATGACTGATCTCGGGTTAATGAGCTTCTTTCTTGGAATGGAGATTAAGCAAGCTGAGTATGAAATCTTCATCTGCCAGAGGAAGTATGTCAAGGAGATTTTGAAGAAGTTTAAGTTTCAAGAATGCAAGGAAGTAAGCACTCCTATGAATCAAAAGGAGAAGCTATGTAAGGAAGATGGAGCTGATAAAATTGATGAGGGATACTTCAGAAGTTTGATTGGTTGCCTAATGTATCTAACAGCAACTCGACCTGACATATTGAATGCTGTAAGTATTTTATCTCGTTTTATGCATTGTCCTAGTGAAATACATCTCAAAGCTGTCAAGAGAGTGATCAGATATGTCAAAGGCACTTGTAACTTTGGCATCAAATTCACAAGAAGCATAGAATTCAAGCTGGTTGGCTATTCAGACAGCGATTGGGGAGGTTCCATGGATGATATGAAGAGTACTTCAGGCTATTGTTTTACCTTGGGTTCTGGTTGTTTCTCTTGGAGTTCAAAAAAGCAAGAAATTGTAGCTCAATCTACGGCTGAAGCAGAATTTATAGCAGCAACTGCTGCTGTGAATCAAGCCATGTGGCTAAGGAAAATTTTATTTGATCTCAACTTGGAGCATAAAGAAAGCATCAAGATTCTTGTTGACAACCAAGCTGCTATTGCTATCTCTCACAATCCTGTGTTCCATGGAAAAACCAAGCACTTCAACATAAAGTTGTTTTTCTTAAGAGAAGTGCAAAAAAAGGGACTTGTAACTTTGGTTTATTGTAAATCTGAAAACCAACAAGCAGACCTGCTTACAAAGCCACTCTCGGTCAGTAGGTTCGAGTTTCTAAGAGAGAAAATTGGAGTTTGCAGCTCCTAAAGCAAGGAGGAGTGTTAGGAAAATGCTTTAGGATCATGTCCCACGTTGTCTTTGAGTCAATATTGCTTTCCTAGTTTTAAGGTGTCAGTTAGGAAGTTTTATTTAATGCTTTTTTTTTAGTTTTATTCACACAGCACATTTCTAGGATCATGATGTTAGTGGGTAGTTTCTTTTTACTTCTATAAGTTGTAATGCTTCTGTTCATATTTTTAATGAAGCTTGCTATCTTTTCATTCAATACACGTATTTGTTCTCTGTAATACAAATACTGTTTTCTTATTTTATCTCAAAAGTTCCAACAGGATCTAGGAAGCATGTCTGTCAGATTGATTTGAAAATTGATCCCTTCACTTGATCTCAAGCCATATATTACAATTTACATATTTCTCTTGTTATATTGGTATTTTCTGGCATTGATTTTCGTCCTTCTGACTTATGTGCAATTTGGATAATAAGATAAAAACAAGTTTCATTTGTTTATTTGTTGGGACCAGAAATTTCCACTCTGCAATGAAGCTTAAAATATCACATGCGTCCAAAGAAGAACCCTGCATTTTTGTTTTGTTGTTCCTACAAGTAATGCCATGTGTTATACATAATCTCCTTAAACAGGAAAATAGATAACGTTGTTTGAGCAAAACGTATCAACACAACTAAGCCTATCAAAGAAATTTACTGGTCGTTTTCTGCAGCCTTTCTTGGCTCTGTTCTCCACCGTACCCTTTTATGCTAAAGAATAACACAAGTTTGGTTAAAGATAATTCTATACAGTGAATATAGCTAGGTGTCCCTTTTTTCCTCTTTGCAATCTTCAATATATTAAATATTTTCAACAGATAATATTAGCATGTGAACAGTTCTTTGTAGCAATCATCCTTTGTTTTTTTTGTTTTTTTAATATCTTTTCCCAGCTTCAGCTTCAGCTTCTGCCACCATGCTCCTTTTTCTTTTCTCTTTTATCTGTCTCCACAAGTGTGCAGCGAAAAAAGAAACTTTCTCAGTCAGTAGGTTTGCATGAAGACAATAAGCGAAAACTGGCTACCTTACCGCACTCCCAAGTCCCATCCTTTTCTTTTTGTATTGGTTTTGAAACCAAAAAGGTCAAGCCCCGTTAGTATATTATATTTGTGGATTCTGTGACAAACGTTAGTCTCTTTGATACTGAAGGACAATATGGGTATCTCCTTAGTCATATACCTTAGAAAAGCCCTTTCGACAAAGAGAAACCCCACAAAACCTCTATTTCTTTCAAGCATCCAATGTCCTTTATCCCTTGCCTTTCATCCCTTTTGAGGTAAATCCTTGCTTTACTTTCTTACAATCCAGCATTTTGTTGCCTAGTCACTTGTTTTCTCATTGTTGGTTATAATTTGTAAAACCTGAGTAGTTTAAGAATGCAAGCCTAAAAACTACAAAAATAAATACAAAAGCAATGAATTAAGCAGAGGAAAACATATATTAAACAAAATGTTTAATTCATGATACACATTGAATGTACATGTTTAATACCACTTCAAGTGTGAAGATTTTAACTGAGGCTTCTATAACACTGTACACAGATTGCTCCAATACCCTATTACTACAATCATAATTTATCTTTTCAACCAAAAATTAAACTACAGTCTAACTTTTGTCCCATTTTATTTTGGATTCATTATGTTCCATAAAATAAATTGGCTTAATTTCTATGTTATGATTAAACGGTGGATGCCAAATGAGACAAAAGGGTGGACGGACGGTCACCAACTCCCACTTGCTTCCCAACTAGAGAAGAGAGTGTTGAAAATAAATAGGCTGCTATTCATGTATACAGTTTCCACTTACTTTCTTCTTCTCGTTAGTCACACCTTGGATCTCTAGAGTGAGATTTGTCTACTTTTTGTTGTTTTGACATTTTCCCCTCGTTCACCATTGTCAAAGTTATTCTATAAAGACTTCTTCATTCTTTAGTTAAAGCTCACTCCAAGAACTCCTTTTAATGCAATGCAAAAAGGTCATCCTTTACAAAGGTTAGTAGCACATAGCACTAGCAGTGAGGACTGAGGAGAGAGTCTTCAAAGAGAAGGCTCATTTGGTCAAAAGGATAATCTTTTCTCCATATTCATGGTTTTTATGCCAGTTCTGCTTATGACATAGATAGATATACTATATTAGCAGCAAATGATCACTTCGTTGGTAATTAAGGGAAGGAATCAGTGCTATGCTGAACCTGAAACCTGAAATGCAAAGGGACATGTGAAGTATTGAATTCCATTTAGTAGTCTCTAGCAACTTTTTGGACTCTGGAGTCTGGACTAGTTCGTTTGGCTTATTTCTCAAGTGTGCTTCATCTGAATTCTAGCTTGTTAAGTACCTGGGTAGGATGGTGACTCTTTCTTGCTTTGTTTTTCCAGAGTTTCTGTTTTTGTTTCTGTGAATTATATCTGTTTTATTGTGAATAACTCTGACTTGGGTGGCTTTCAGGTATGGGAATTGAAGAGGGTGGAGAAAATAAAATGCTGGGACTGAGATTTACTCCAAGGCACAATCGTTCAAAGAGGTTTCTATCTGTTTTTTATGCTTTAGCTTCTCCTGTTGCTTGAATTGGGGTTCTTTGGTTATTTGTAATCATTTCTGTCTATAATTTCCAGATTTGGAACCATTCAAAAGGCCTTGCTTTTCTGGAAAATGGAAAACAAAGCTTTCAACATTTAATATTTGCTGCCTCTGCAATTATTCTTTGTCATTTCTGGGACTAGTTTTACTTAGTCTCATACCCTATTGAGAACATCCAGGAGGGTTCCTGGTTGAAATTGAAACCGGAGGTTGAGACCTCTTATAAAGGGTTAGAGAATTGGGGATTTCTTGAATGTAGCGTGGGTTCCTTAAAGTGGAACAAACTAAATGTGAAGCATCTCAAAATGTTTACTATGTTTGCTCTTTCTACATGGCAGTCTTCCTGATAAGAAAAGAGATGAGGAGGATAATCCACATAATCACCTTGAGGCCTCAGACCGAAGGAAGCTGGTATAATCAAATCACTCCATTTTTTTTCATCCAGAAATGATCATCACTTCTTTCTAGCTTTTTTTTTTTTAAATATTAGGAATTGAAGGTACTACTTCATATAAATGCACTCTTGCATGCATGATGAAAAGAAATTTCAACATTTTTCTTTTCATTCTTTGTCAATTTTATATCATGAATGCCAATGGCAGCCAGAAATTTGATAGAAATTATATTTTCAGAAGTTTAATATGAGATGGATGAACAGAGAATTGAGTTTTTGCAAACGTTATATATTTGATGTCATTAATCCCAGCCATTCTTTGGGGTCATTAATGGTCTATTCTAACATCATTCTCTGCAGTCCCCACCCATAACAGATTTTATTTACTAGCGAGACTTCATGTCTCAAAGTATGGGTTTGATTTGGTTCCAGGATACGGGTTACCTCACGGAATGTGCTAAAGCTAGGAAAAAACGAACCCCTACAAGTGAAGTCCACGGGACTATGAAGCAAGAGGTACATTGCATATTTTACTTCAGTTATATTTACTGCACTGTGGCCCATTTAGCAATACTCTCTTCTTCTTCTTTTTAATTCTTTTTTGGTGCATTGCATCCATTAATGAGGCCATGTTCTTTTAATCATGCTTCTGCTTTGCCTAGTGAGTCAATATACTTCTGGCAAATTACTATGTCTATTTCGTTCTTATTATATTTTTATAAAAAAAATTACCTTGTTGCAGATTCTACAGCTAGAGAGAAGATTACAAGACCAACTTGAGGTCAGATGCACGTTAGAAAACGGACTTGGATACAGATCTCCATCTCTTGTTAATTCAAATGAGATGATGATGCCCAAGGTAGCAACAAGTTCAATATATTTATGGGTCTTTATTTTATCATGTTACATGATGTCATGCAACACTAAAAGACAAAAAATAAAAATAATAAAAAAATATGATAAGACACTTTGTTCAATAATTTGGTTTTGTCTTATTTTAACATAACCAAATTATTTTTCCTACAACATAACTCTTATTTATCCCTATATTTATATATGCTTTCTAAAAAATTAAAAGAAATGTTACTATCTGTGTATTAGTTTTGCCTTAATGCATTCGAGCCTGATAGTGTTGTTATTGCTGTAATCCAGCCTGCCACAGAATTAATTAGGGAAATTGCAGTGTTAGAGTGGGAAGTTGTGTATTTGGAACAACATCTTCTCTCCTTGTACCGTAAAGCTTTTGATCAACAATTGTCTTCTGTTTCCCCGTCTACCAAGGAGAAAAGTGTAGAGTATCCTCAAACAACACTTGGAGCACGATTCATCAAGGTTTCTATGCCTGAGGTCTTAACCAAAAGAGAATGTTCTACGGTACAATCTAATGACCATGAGCTTGAGACTCTGCCAAAGGAACATAATGGATATGATTTTGAGACTTTGGGGAAAGAATGTAATGGAAGTCGGCCAGAAGAAAAGCATTTAGATTCTGGTGTTTATCGTTGCCATTCCTCACTATCCCAGTATTCAGCATTTACAAGAGCATCTCCTCAGGGGGAATTTTTGACTAAACCTCTGCGTAACTGTCATTCTCAACCATTGTCCATGATGGAGGTAAATCTAGTTTCATGGAAAAATCCTTCTTTTATCTGTAGTTTGGCTCCTTGCACATTTAGTTAATGCAAAACAATCATAAAATACTTTTGATAAAGGAGACTGTAATGGTTACTGAAACTCTTGCCTTTTCTCTTTATCATTTTTTGAATAAAACATGAGAATATGTCATGCACTTTATTGTGAAATTCTATTATGTCCACTTGTCTTTGCCACTATATCAGCATTAGGAGTAGAAATTCTTTAGATTTTGACTTTCAGTTGATTCTATACAGTATGCCCAAAGCTCTTCAACAAATATAATCAGTTTGGCAGAACATCTGGGTACCCGAATATCTGATCATGTTCCAGTGTCACCTAATAAACTTTCTGAGGATATGGTCAAATGCATATCAGCTATATATTGCAAGCTTGCAGACCCTCCTTTGACACATCCTGGCCTTTCATCTCCCAGTTCATCATTGTCCTCAACGAGTGCCTTTTCTATTGGAGATCAAGGTGATATGTGGAGCCCAAGGTTCAGGAATAATTCCTCTTTTGATGTACGGTTAGACAATCCTTTCCATGTGGAGGGACTCAAGGAGTTTAGTGGGCCATACAGCACCATGGTTGAAGTATCATGGATTTATAGAGAGAATCAGAAATCGGGTGATACTGTGAAGTTGCTCCAGAATTTCAGGTGAGGCTATTACATCTGATCAAGATAATGAAGTTCTCGTATTAAAAGTACTTAGTTTAGTTGAATTCTTTGGTCCATGGGAGTTTTACACTTTTACTGAGCATATGTTCTTTTATATTGTTTCAGGTCACTTATTTGTCGATTAGAAGAAGTAGATCCTGGGAAGTTGGAACACGAGGAGAAGCTAGCTTTCTGGATCAACGTACACAATGCTTTGGTGATGCATGTAATTGTTATATTGTCAAAAATATGTTTCCCTGTGATATTTTCCCATTCATTTCACCCGTTTGATTAGTTGGGTTTATAATATGTTCTTTGGTTTCTAATAGGCATTTTTGGCTTATGGGATTCCACAAAACAATGTGAAAAGAGTGTTTCTTCTTTTGAAGGTAAGAAGTGAGATTATTAGCTTAAAGTCATTAAAGGATGAAACTCATAAACCTATCTGCTTGCTTGGCCTTTGCAGGCTGCATATAATGTTGGGGGTCATACAGTTAGTGCAGACACAATTCAGAGTACTATACTTAGGTGCCGCATGTCTCGCCCTGGACAGGTGGATCCTATGATCCCAAACACTTCCCTATAAAAAATTTATAAGAGAAAAATATGATTGAAGTGTCATTTAGATATACTTTTAAAATATCTCATCGATATGAAAAGTATTTCTTTTAATCCTATACACAAGTGACTTACATGGTAGCTTCTTTCCTCTTGTAGTGGCTACGCTTGTTTTTCTCTCCAAGAACAAAATTCAGAGCTGGAGATGGACGACAAGCATATGCAATGGAGCATCCTGAGCCTCTTTCACACTTTGCCCTCTGTTCAGGAAACCATTCTGATCCATCGGTATTCTCCTAATTCTTATTTCTATCCAATTTCATTACATTTCTAACATGCCTATTTTTCAAAGCTTGATGCTATGAATTCTTGATATTTGTTTGGGAAATACCTTAGACATTGGCAAGCACAAATCATTTTGACCTGGAATAGTTTCATTAAGACTAATCTTGTTTATGTTCCCGAATACAAGTTCGCAGGGGACTAACAAAATAAATAAATATATGGACAAGCAAATTAACGTACAACAACTATTTTTAACTGGCTTTTGACTCTAATGAATTGTTTATCTTCTGATGACCTTTGACAGGTTCGCGTATATACACCAAAGAGGGTGCTTCAAGAGCTAGAAGTTGCAAAGGATGAGTACATTCGAGCCACCTTTGGGGTACGCAAGGACCACAAAATTCTCTTACCAAAGCTTGTTGAGTCATTCACCAAGGACTCAGGTTTGTGCGCTAGTGGTGTTATGGAGATGATCCAAGAGTCTATACCTGAATCCCTAAGAAAGAGTGTTAAGAAATGCCAGCTCGCAAAATCCCGGAAGTGCATAGAATGGATTCCACACAACTTCACTTTTCGATATCTCATATCTAAGGATATGGTAAAATGATTACTTAGGCAGCGCTATTGCTTGCTCTATGTAATTCTTTTTGTACAAAATCGTTACGATTCTGCAGAGTGCAGTGTAAATAATCTGTTGCTTTGAGAATATAATCACGGGACGTGGCAGGGTTAAATCATAAATGGTTTATTATGTCAGCGAGTTTAATATTCATTTGAAAAGTCCGAGCTTTGATCCATCTCCAAGTATAACTCCAAAGAACAGAATAATAATTGATATAGAGATCCCTTCTTTTTTTTATTCTTGTGATTCTGCTTATGTGAGCTACTTCACAAGTCATGCCATGACATCGACAATTTGACATATATAGAGATCTCTCTCACATTACACTAAAATAGCATTACTTGCACAATACATAGAAAGATGATGAAAGGATGAGTAAGGATTTTATAGTTTGATGCATCATCACATCATATTCATCAGTATGGGCTCTCTCCTATGACGTTACCAGGTGGGTCATAGAAACAAATGATCAAGCTAGCCTTCTCCTTCACACACGTGGCTTGACCGCACCCAAGCTCTGTTGACTTCCTCCACACCACCTGCGTGTAAACGCCGCACTCGTGGTTCGACACGCACGAGTTGTTGCCGTGGATGTAGAAATCTTTCTCCTTCACCCACTCTTCCACCGCCACGCGCGGTGTCACGGCCACCGTGCTTGCCATCAGCTGGTTACCGCCGTACTTGCTGGTGGTTAAGTTTGCGAATTGGCACCCCATTTTGTTCCTTTGGTACCGCACAAGCAGACTCGTGGCGTTGGCCAGCTTCTCGCTCCAGTTGAGTGGTTCAACGCCCACTGCGGCTCTTGCCTGGTTGTGTGCTTCCAAGAACTCCCTCGCTGCAGCTGGAAGCGGCGACGGCGGCGCTGGCTCCTGCGCGGTGGCTGGCCTTGTCTCGTGGGCTAAGACAAGGAAGATGGCTAGAACCGCCAGTGAAAACAAAGAATGATTGAACATCTCCATTTGACCTTATCTTCTTCACGTGTTGTCGCTGTGTGGTGCAGTAAATAATATGGCTGTGCTATACCAATGTTGAAGTCACGGACGTGAATATATATTGGATGTAAAGTTTATAACTTAATTTACATAACTTTATCTCATGTTTATTAAAATACATATACAAAAGTCACAGGTCCAAAAAATTATAACCAAAAAATTATATACATATACTAAATGTTAATGAACTTGATTTTTTTTAATTTAATAACTCTAATTTATGAGTTATTTAAAGCATTAGATGGAAGTGAAATTAACTATTCTTACTAAAATTATAGCTTAAATTGATTATATATATATTTATAGGGATAGGATCATTTGATATCAGTGTCAAATTAAAAAAATTTACACTAAATTTTAACTATTAATTTCTGTCAATCTAACGATTATAATTTATTGAAAATTATTAATTAATTAATAAGTGCAATTCAATAAATTATAACTGTTAAATTCACAAAATTAAAGATTAAGATCTTGATATATATATATATATATATATATATATATATATCAATGTAAATAAGTTTTATATGAATCATTAATTACAAGTGGAATCAACAATTCAGATTAAGGATGTAATTTATACTTATTTAAAATGATTATGTCCTACTTGCTAAAAAAATATATTATGTCCCGATATATATATTGCAATTTAATATTAGGTATGGACATGGAGTGCTAGCTGTATAGCAGTCTGATAGGAGTTTGTGACCTTACTCCTGTCATGTGGTATGTGTATGTCTGCTCTCTGTTGGCTACCAGCTTCTGGATTTGGTCTATTGGGTGGGTGCACATTAAAAAGTCGTAGACAGTTTACTAAAAACTTAGCCTTGAGATTTAGCCTTGTAGGCTATCCTTAAACTAATGACCAACTATAAATAGAAATTATATCAAAAAAGGTTTGCTATATATTTTCGAAGTTTAAATGTATTTGATATTTTCTTTTTCAAGTAAAAAAGGAATTTAAAGGAGGATTAAATGCATGCTTCTTAAACAAAATTATTCTGGACCACTCAATAGACCCATAGCCCTCAATAGCATCACAATTCACACATGATAATTGGCAAGCTAAGGAGATAAGAATCATCTATCTTATGCCTAAAGAAGAAAGGATAAAGCCCAACAATCCTATTTTTATCAGGATTTTACGCCTATGTTAATCCATGTATGAACAGTAACACACATATAAATATAACTCTACTCCTTGTTCTTTTATTCTTTTAGCTTTTAACGTGTACACACCTCACACATTTGACTTTATGTTGTTACTATATATGCAATGCTACCCTTTACATATATGCAATGCTACCCCTTACAATGTCTCTCACATGGACACCCATGAACATATTGAACCCAGTTATAATTATTAGGGGTGGCAAAACAGCTCATGACCCATTTCAAGTTTTTTTGGTAACTTTTTCTAAAATAAATAAATTCTATATTTTTCCATGTTGTATCGACCAGCGACCTGTAATGGGAATTGTGTCCGAGTTCGAGTTTTTAACCCTTCAACGAAAACATGTCATATATGAATTGAGCAATTTCATATTTATATCGACTCGTATCGTATCAACACGTTCTGTCATCCTTATTACCGATCTTTGGGTGGATGGATTTATAAAAAAATTAAAATATTGGTTAAACAGTTGAAAAGATTTGTTTTAAGGTATTTAATGATTCTTAAATACTGTGCAGTGATTCACAAAAGATTTCCATATCAAACTTCACAACCTCTGAATTTAGTGCTTGTTTGGATGGGCTTCTCCTTCTCTAGAAGTTGTTTTGTTTAAAACAAATTAAGTGCTTTTAGAAGAAAAAAAACTTATGTTTGGATGTGTGCTTTCAATAAAAGCAGAAGCCAACAAAAAGGAGAAATCTTGCTTTTCTGAAAAGCTAAAAATTTTAACTTTTAAAAGAAGGATAAGCCAAAAGTTAAAAATTGACCCATTTCTCCCTTCGAGTATTCCGTCTCAGCCAAAGCAGGTTGAGGATGAAAAAAGAGAGAGAGATCTGAAATGGCTTCGATGGATGAATGAATTGAGTAAAGAGAAGAGAGGTATACCATGGTTGAGTTTTGGGCAAGACTCGACGGAGTACGAAGGAGTCGCTGAGTATTGAAAATCGAAGAAGGTCATCCCCATTATGATGCTGCCCTGCATATTGCTAGTCTTTCACTTTCAGTAGAACTTTTTAGACCATTAAGGTCCGTCAATGGCAGTTCACATGCATCCACAAGAGGATGATTTTGATCAATGATTTTGATCAATAAAACTTTTAGCCTGTTGGGGTTCAGCAGAATTTATCAAATAACATGGAAAAAGAAACCATGAGTAACTATGAATCTCACATCCTAAAAAAGAAATATGTGGCGAGATTCTTAAATTCCACCGGAAAAAGTGAAGCATGAAAAAGGAATATAAACCAAAACCAGATACAGGATGAAAACGAAGCACGATAAACCTGGATAAAAAAGAGGGAAGGGTAAAGGAAAAGAAGGATGAAAAGCCACAATGGGAAAAAGGCATAACAGTACTTTTATATTGAAATAGTGTTTTTTTATATTTTAACATCCAAATGATATTTTTACTCAAAAGCACTTTTTAAATATTACATCCAAATACAAAATAACTTTAACTTTTTAAAAAAAATCTTTTAAAATAAGCAACTCATAAAAATCATTTTTTTCAAAAACCCATCCAAACTGGCCCTTAATCTAGCTATTGTCCCGTTGTCATTCACTAAACTAAGAATGGAGTCGAAAGTAAATGAAAAATAAAATAAAATGCGTACCTAAATTGACTTTAATTTAATTTGTTTTCCTTCAAGGAGTCCCATCATTTATTCAAAAATTCATTTTTATTAAATTGCAAATTTTAGTTGTGATTTAATATGAAACTTTCTTATTTATAACACATTATTGTTCTAATTAACAACCATTTTTTTCCTGGCTAGTATATATTTTTGTTTACCATTATTTAACATTATTACATCAGAATCTCAATGGGAGAAAAAAATAATAAAGATAATTAAGATTCTGAACTAATAATATTAAAAAATAATAGACAAATATTGACAGAAAAATAGATACGCTTTTTGCAAGAAATGTGATACGCTCTTTGCAAATTGTATTTCTAACTAGTTAGCTCAGGAAGAAGAGAAGGTGGAGCATGGGCCCAAATCTGTACCAAAGTCAGTGGCTAACCCATTGGATTGCTAGAGTATTGGCCCCCAAAAGGAATTGCGAACTAAAAATATCAAGTTAAAAACCAAATTAATATTAGTTAATTTTTTTTCAAAAAGTATTAAACAATAACTCGCCAAAGTGGGATGATTTTGGCCGGATACACCAATTACGTGGACAAAGTGTCAAACCAAGTGGATCGGCATCTTCCATCTCCCCCTTTCCCTTTCTCTTTATGCATGAATCGTGAACTTGTTTATTCCAAAGCCTTATATAGTAACATATTTGCTGGTCCCAAAACATTACATAAATTAATATAGGAGGGATATTCTAACTATCAAAATTTTTTACTACCAACTTATTACTTATCTAATCATCATTAGATTAACATTCTCTCTCTTTTCAATTTTTTTTTAACATTCTCTCTCTTTGATCCAATGATAATGTGAAAGATAATAAGTTAGTAGTGAGAGTTTTTGATAGTTAGAATATCCTCACTCAAATTAATATTGAATCTTATAGTTTCTCACTTATATCGGAACCAACATCATATTTGATAAACATCATGAACTAACACTATTCGGTATTGAATTTTTAATTTAAATTGATATTTAAGATACATTACTAAGAATTTATTATTCCCTAATTTTATTAAGACAATGTTTTGGGACCAACACGTCCGTTATTTAATAAAGCTTTGGAAACAATAAGTTCATTACTCAACAAGTCTCCTAAAAGAAAAGGAGAAAGGTTAGACGCAGAGTTCCACATGGCAACAACCCATGTAAAACACTAATTCATGTGTAGAATCTTTCATTAACCGTTGCCAAATGGCATTGAGGTGGCATCAACCCACATGAAAATTTCTTATGTATATGGGATGTAATCAAATGAAAAGTTTTATTTTCGTTTAATCCAAATTTTTTAAGTATTTCTCATCAAATCCCAAATTTTTTCCTTTTTTTTTTTTACAGATATATGGTGCATCTGATTTACCAAAAAGTGCTCCACATAAAAATTTCTTCTATATATCGGATATACCCAAATAAATACATCTTTTTACCAAAAAAAAATTTCTTCCCATTTAACCCACGTAGCTATTCATAAAGTGCTATGTAAATTGCCATTTTATCAACGTAAGTCGCATACATGTTAAAACCCACCTCACTTTGGTAAATTGCTTTTTTTATATTTTTTTGAGAAAACTTCATTTCTATTCATTGTGATTTTATGATTTATCACTTAATTCTCTGTGATTATAAATTTTTTACTTAGCCCCATTGTGTTTAAAAAATTATCATTTAACCCCCTCTAATTTCATAATTTTTTTTTTGATAAGCTTAGTTTTAAATTTTCACTTATACTAATTGTGGTTATAAAAATATATCGCTTAAACCCGTTGCGGTCTTATAAATATAAAAATATTTATTTTTCCTAAATTTTATTTTATACAATTAATATATTATCAAATAAAATTAATAATTAAATATTAAATTAAAAAATATTCCAAATTATTTATTTAAAAATTATATTTAAAAATTAAAAAATATTATTTAAGTTAAATTAAATATGTATTATCAAAATAAGATATTTACTTTCTTTAAATAATTTTATAACTATATCGGATAAAAAATAGATAAAATAAAATAATATTTGATATGAATTTATTTTCATGATAAAAATAAGTAAATTTTTGAAATTTTTATTTTTATTTATTTTCCTTAAATGTATTAGATGAGGACATAAAATAAAAAAGAGAGAAAATAAAAAAATTTATATGTATAAAATTATAAGGATATATTTTATATTATTATTAATTTAAATTAATTTATATTTAAATAAATAATTTATATTTTTTGGTACATAATTTTAATTTATAATATGATAATAATATAAACTAAAAATTAAGAAAAAAAAAACTATGTATATATAAGGCCACAAAGGGTCTAAGTGATATATTTTTATAACCACAATAATTGTAAGTAAAAATTTGAAACAACGGAAGGTTAAATGATAAATTATTTAAGCACAATGGACCTAAATGACAAGTTTAAAATCACAAGGGGTCAAATGATATATCATAAAATCACAATGGGTGAAAATAATTTTTTTATTTTTATTTTTAATAATGGATTTTTTCCTCAAACATCCATCATACGTTGATCAATAAAAAAGCGTATCCGTTGTATAAATAATTTTTACATGTAAATTAAAGTCAAATTGTATAAAGAATGTTCTTAAATTTATTTAAAAATTTATACAAATTAAAATTTCCCAAATCTGTAAGTAGGCTCAAGTATCTCTACAAAATTGTGAGTGTACCTATCGGCTAATGTGCTTTTTTTTTTATTAAATTAGGAGAGATTAGTACATTAATTGTCACACTTTTTGTATGACATATTATACTTACTTTACTTCTTTGTTATTTTAAGGAAATTTTATGCAAGATCTATACATAAAATAAAAGAAATATATGTAATTCATTAAATAAAAAAGATATTTGAAATGTGAAAATAGTGTAGAAAATAAAGATTATCAATATAATTTTGCAAATAAAAAAAATGTTATTGAGATCGGTATAATTATTCCATTAAATTAAGAGCGGGGAACACACGCTCCTGCCATTTTTTCTACACTAATAAATAGCGGGGAACACGTAGCACACGCTGATATTAATTATTAACATGTTATTCAACTTGTACAGAAATAATATTGGTGTGTGAGCGTGTATTTTCCTTAAATTAAATCCTAAAATTTCCAACTTCGTTTCCGCTAGATTTTTCCATATCGAAGAACACACGATTTCAACCTAAGCAATACAATTACAAATAGGTGGCTTTTAATACGGTGATATTTTTCTGAACAAACACAATACGAACCCAGGCAGAATCACTTTGAATCCTGCATTTCATTGACTATTCTTGGGGGACATATCAACCAATTCAGACTGTTCTAGAACCAATTCCTCATACTCATTTGGGTCCTTGCTTTCCTAACTCATACAAATTTATTGACCCATATGATTTTCTTCCAGGGTCCCTCTAAGGTAAAATCAGTTAAATGAAAAATGAAACACTATAAAAAGTAAAAAGTAAAAATAAAATAAATCAAAAACGTTAAAATTAACTTACATCAATTACACGTTCAAACTTAACGGCGCTGAACAGAGGCTCTGTTAGTGGTACCGTTAGGTCTGGCCAGTGCAGAGCTAGCTTTAACGGCGAGATCACAGAGGAGAGGCAGAGATAAGGGGTTATCGGAATGAGAGAGAGGTACGAGGAAGTAGATTCGACCAGGTAAAAGCTCCTCCTCATCGGGAACGCGTGGCATGCACGTGCCGATGTACATTGACTCTGAATTGCAGAGGAAGCAAGTGGGGTTCTCCGAAACCACGAGCCTAGCTTGGATAGGTTTCTTGTACTCCTTAATTCCACCGTCCACGTCTATCACCATGATCGCCGATGGTCTTCGAAAAGATTCCAAAGCACGTACACCGTCGCCCTTCTTGCTACTAGCTCTTGTTGTTGTTGTTGTTGTTTTTTTGGTCGTCGGAGAATGAGAAGATGCGCACACGCCCATATGTTCACACGCCCAAATGGGTAAGGTTCAGTTTCTTTCTTTCTTTCTTTTTTTATTGCTTTTTTCTGGGATCTGGTTTCTTCTGTGATGAGGGATTAGCGTGATGGTATTATGTATATGTCACAGAACCTTACCCATTTGACTTTGACCTTTTCACTTGCATTGAGAACAAACAATTAAAGCGACTTTACTCATATGAAATAAATAATCGTCATTCATGATATAATAAATGGGCACATGTTAACAGTCTATTAATGTATATTTATATTTAATGGTATTATATAGCTAGACACAGGCTTATGTTACTTTATCAATTTATGACGATTTTTTTTTATTTTTAAGTCATGATATTAAAAAAAATATTTTATAATTCTTTGTTATTTTAACACTATCAAAAAAATCAATATATTATTTTATGACGATTTGTGTTTTTTTTTTTCAATTTAGAATATCATTTATTTGACTATTACAAAGACAAGGATCGTCTTTTTTCATTTTAAATTTTACTATAATATTAAATTTTTATTTTTTAAAAACAATAATTAATACCTACCGTAATTTTATACATAATTTTATTGATTTACTAAATTTCTTATTTTCTGATTATTTATTTTTAAAATAAAACATTAACGAAATAAAAAGTTTGAATTCAGAACGTGCCATATTTCAGGCAAAACATTTTTATGTTTTTAATCATTTTTATTATTTCTCGATAATGATAAATAATTTTAATAATATATCTAACCTTTCTTGGGGTTTGAATTCGCAACTTTTTATTTTAGCATTGACTATAATTTTATGTTTATCGGTCTATATAAGTAACATAAAAATTTATGTATATATAGATAATATATGGAGGGGGATATTTTGACTCCAGAATATGATTTAAAAGTCTTATTCTTCATCTTAACCGTTAATTTATGCTCATCTGATAATTATAGTTTAGGAAGTTATACTAATTATTTATTTATTAATTATACCACAAATAACAATCGTTGATTTCCGGTCATCTTGAGATGGGGAGTAAAATTTCTCAATCTTACTATGAAATCAAAAGAATATTAGAATAGGGGGAGAGACAAAGAGATTTTAGAGAAAAGAATTGTACAATTTTTTTTTCCTTTTTCATTATTTCCAACACTAGTTAACAAGACGAAGTTACAAACTTACAATCACACAACATTCATGATTCAAAGCTTCATCTTGACACATAATTTAAAAATTAATCATTAAAAGCTAAAGATATAATAACGAGAAAATTCTGAAACATCTTTTGAATGATGTATTGTTACATTATATGGTCAAGTTTTCTTCTTTTGTACGAAATTATTAAATTTAATTGAGAATATGTTTAATATTATATTAAACTTATTTATACAAATTATATATAAACAATTGAATTTTGTCTTTGTTCTGTTTTATTTTGAACATTTATATAAAAATATTAGCTACAATTAACTTTAACTTGATACTTATGTCTATGACGGTGATTTCAAAACTATATTGATTAATTGAACACTAGATGGATTGAATGAACTTTATCTTTAGCAAGTACTCAATGGAAGACAATGCCACCAATTGCTTTAGTTAGCCATATTATATTTGACGATGTGCAAGCGCTGTTATAAATTTTAATCAAGGGCGAATTGAAATGTCAAGTGTCTATCTTGAGGAATATGACTCTATAAGTAATTGACGGATAAATCTCCTATTATGTTTTGAGAAACTGTATTTTAATTTACAAAAATAGATTTACATTAATCTAAAATTTAACAAGTATTTTTTATTAAAATATTGAAAACAGTAAGGATTAAACTCAGAGAAGTTTTGAATATCACGTTATAAATCAATTATTTCAAAAATCTAAGCATGGGGGGGGGGGGGGGGGGGAGGAAAGCGCGGTATATATGTTCTTGTCGGGCTAAATTTCAGTCGTCTATTTATTGTGTCATATATTGTTAGTGGAAAATAACAGTGCCCCTTTTCTATTCAGACGGGGCAAGTGAAGTGCACCCAGAACTTGCGATCTATGATGGGTTAAAAGAAGCTTAAAGCTATCAAAAGATAGCTAGCCAGTTCCACCAATGAAAAAGATGGCCAAAGAAAACGGATCCACTTGATGGCTCAAGTGCTTCCTCCATGTGTTTGATATAGTGATTGGCGTGTAGCTAGCTCTTTCATAAAGTGCAATAACAATCTACAGTAAAACGTAGTGCTTTCATTTCTTTATTCTTTTTCCCTCTCTTTTTATTATTGAAAAAAAAAAAAAAAAAAGTCGAGTTGGGGGGGCGCACACAGAATTTTTCTTAACACCGAAGGATAGGTAGTTTGTGGGTTTAATACGATATCATATTGGATAAAAATGAGACGCTACAAAGGTAATGTCATGAATGATCAAATAAAGACATTGTACATGCTTTTAAGTTAATTTTTTTTCATAGTGTGTATGGGGTTCGAACCTTAATAGTTAACTTCACATTAATTTCATTACTTTGTTTATTAACTAAAGGAGTTAGATCGAACCTTATAATACACATCACTGAGTATTCTGCATGTATAATGTATTTTTTATTTCATGAATTTTCTCCCACTTAATATATGTATACAAGGGGAAAAAATTGTGTCAAATTTCAAATTCAAAAGGACGAATATGTGCCAAAGCAATTTAGTTCACACGGCAAAAAAAAACAAAACCATTATTTGACTTCAATGGGAAAGTAGGACCCCGCATACCAATAAGTTTGAAACCCCAAACAGAACCTTCCCCAATAATACCTGATCAATTGAAGGAGTGCTTTTGCGGGGAAGGGCGCAAAAGAGTTTCGGCAACACTACATCATAGAATTCAAAGCAAAAAAAAAAAAAACTTTTGTTTTATTTACTGTCTACTGACATCTATAATTTTTTCAAAGAGAATATAATATATTTCATATGCTTACGTAACAAGCAAGTTTGCGTAAAAAAATATTGAAGTGAGAGTGTATCAAAACATTTATATTATATTATATAAGGGAAAATAGTTTGTCGTTTTAAATGATCTATTAAAGTTGTATTTTTTTTTTCTCTTTTCAAAAACTATCGACTGATGTGGAAAGTGAAAAAATATAATTTTAATATTATAACTATATACTCTCAATAATACATAATTATAGGGGGTGAAAAAATATAACTTATGTCTAAGGATAAAACGTGTTCTCATTATATAAAGAGAAAACATTTTCTCATATTATAGAAAAATTATTTTCTCTTATTAGTGATGTTTCAATTTTTGTGCAGCATTTTTTTTTTTTTAATGGACATGGGCTCCCGCCGTCTATAACATGAGAAAAAAATTTTCTACTGCATAAGAAAATTAAAATCTTATAAAACACATTTCTCTTGTTTTAGGAATGTACAGTTTGGACCTAATTGCCAAAGCACGGCCAACTTGACCATCGAAGGATAATTCACCCACAATAGAGTCATACCTCAGCCCAGTTGAAACGAAACGGGATCCTCCTTCAAAACCCTCTGCCTCCTCTCCCCTCCCTCTCTCTCTCTCTATATATATGTTTGGTACGTGCTTGCTTCAATATTACATCGAATAAAGGTTGTGGAAAAGTGAACGCATGCCCATTTAGACTTACTGTTGAATGCCAATACATAGAAGTTTTCTCAACCCTGTACCATCTTCCTTGACCATGGGTTTTTCATTGTTAAATTATTTGCAAATGCTGTTACATTTTTCTGTCAAGACTTACATTAAAGTGGGTATTTTTTCATTTCCCAAAATTTTTCTTAAAAAATAAAAACCAAACTTATATTTGAACTCACTTGATAGTTTCATGTATCCAGAAATAGGTTTCCTAAGCAGGGAAAAATAAATAAATAGTAAATATCGTTTAATCAGGTTGTTTTTCTTGGTAACTTTTTGAGTGAAATTATAAATTCTAATGTATGATTTTTTCCGAAATTTTTTACTTCGATAAAGAAAAAATAATGAAGAGAAATTTACCAAAAATAAATAAAAAAATAATGAAGAGCCACTAAATTCACAAGAAATAGTTTAAGGAAAAAATACTCATGGTTGTCACGCCTGGCTACTTGTAGGATCAATTATTGTCCTCACAAACAAACCAACATGAGGCTTTTTAACATGCTTCACAAGAAATAGTGTGAGGAATAAAGACCCATGGTTGTAACGTCTAGTTACTTGCAAGATCAATGATTGTCCCCACAAATTAACACGAGACTTTTTAGCATGTTTTGTCCTCACTTACACATTTCCTGAGAAAACTTCCTAGGAGGCCACCCATCCAAGAATTGCTCTAAGTCAAGCATGCTTAACTATGGAGTTCTTAAGTTATGGGCTACCAAAAAGTATATGCATCTTGTTAGTATAGGTAATATATATTAATTCCTTTAAGTCATCCTCAATTGTACGATTTCATACATGCACAGCCTCTGAATCCCTCTCGTTCAGGTGTTAATTTGATTCATTCATATATCTCCCCAGCTGCAAACCTGCCATGAGCATACTGTCACAACCCTCGTATCAAAGGACTATCTACTTTTCGCCCTCGTCAGCGCCTAAGATGTTACACATGGTCGATAACTCTTCAGAGTACCACAAATAATATAAGAAATTCAAATGTAAGTTATAAAATTTAACATTGGTTAATAGTGGAATAATTAAGAATTATATAGGTGAAATAACACATCAATTCAATATCTTAATATTTTAAGTTAAAATATGGCGTGAGTTCCATTTATTAGATTTGCCACTGATCCTAAATTGTTTAATTGCTTAGGAATCGAATCAGAGATCTTTCAGTCCTATCAGTTGACTCTTTGGGCACAACTCGCTTACCAGCTGTCTCCCCCTTGAGTTTAACAATCCTTTGATTTTATAGCAAAAAAACTCATATACGTACTCTCATTATTTCTCACACATTAAACGTTTCTTCGTATTCTCTCAAATAAAACACTTATTTTTATTATTTTTCGCTAGTCTATCATTTATATATATATAAGAAGGAAATCAATATAATATCAATTAATAAAATTATAGTCATTCACAATTAATTCAA